GACTAAAGTCAGGGTCAGCAAAACGCATAACGAAGAATTTCTTTCTCCCTTAATGTGGGGGACCACCACGCACATCATTTATTATGGTGACGGGGGTAAAGGCTGTCCAAGCAGAGACGACGAACACCAAGTGACAGACGTCGAACGGCGAATTCAGGTGACGTCGGGGATGGGGCAGAAGCTGCTCTAAGGTGCTTATAACCGTTACGCGAAATTTAGAAATCCCGAGTGAACGTTCCGTACTTGTCTCTGTCTGGAGAGCATGAGGACGCCAGCACGAGTGGTGCCCGTCTTACATCCTGACGTCCGTGGGACTGCAACTTCAATTCTTTTATCGCAGCACGCGCGCCATTGTATATCGGGGAATAAAATTCGAAAGAGGCTGATTTCGTATAACCCTGAGTGGAGTGAAAGAAGAGTCATTCTCTTTTTGAATTAAAATTTCCATATTTTGCTTAACATATATTTTCGGTATTACGAAAGAAAAAAACAAAAACATGCACCGCTTGCGCGGCCGTGGTGATCAACGATGCTATGCACTTATTTTGATTAAGAAACACATTAAATGGGCGAAAATAGTAGGCCTCGCACTTAAAAGCCCCGAGCTTAGTGTAGAATAAAAACGCACGCTGCAACAAGAAACCCTATGTGAGCAGTTAGCTTGCGTATGGCCTTTGTCGGGGTCGTTTACCGATGAAAATGTGGCAGATGTCTGCGCACCTATATCCCTGACATATTGAGCAAGAGTCGCATTAAAGTCACCACTAGTGTTTTTCTTTTTTCTCGCCAACGCTGTGGTGTAAAGTTCCTCCACTGGAATTTTGGCGTCACCAGAGTGCAATAAAGCGCAGACACAAAACAGACACGCGTGCAGAGCCAGCGTTCGACTGTGCGTCGTACACAACCAATGCGTCGAAAGACGCTTGGCGTGAGGCTCAGGCCCGTCGGGGGAGTCATCCTACTGCATTTACGTTCCATGGAAGTAGATGAGGCCTGTCACAGATTTAGAATATTCCAGGTTGTGTCACCCAACTGCCGGTCGTGAAATAATAACCCCGAGTCATGTGCGGCCATTTTGGAGACTAGAACCCCGTGGTGCGCAAGTGTTCTAGTCTCGTATGGAAATAATAGTAGCAAACTAAAATGTTGAGACAAAAAAGCGCCAAAAGTTGAAATTTAGGAAAGGTTGTATCCAGGCAAAGATGCACAGAACCGGTTATTAGCATCTTTGTAATTTGAGAGGGCTTTGCTCGTCATTCTGGATCAAAATATGTCTTATGACGGAAAAAAAAAATATAATGAAACAAGAGCAAAACGAAAAAGAAAACGTTACAATAAACCACCTTGAGTCTGTTTATACCTATTTGAGGTGACTTCGATTGTGCAGATTGTAGAGGACAAAATACTCAAACAAACAGCCAATTTTTGTGAAACCAAATTACCACATATAGTTTACCTTTCTATACAAGACGACTGCTTGACTAGATACATTTATTTTTTGTTCAAAGGAGAGGCTACTGCGTGGACGTTGCCTGAGCGGCATTTTATCGTGCTATGCGGTCTTATAAAAGGAGGAATTGCCAGGATTCTTTTTTGAATTTAAAACTTCAAGAGTGCATTATTTGCGAACAAAATGACATAAATATGCATATGACCGAATATCTTCAGAAAAATTGGCTCTAGAGCCAAGTTGTCACTGTTTCATTGCAGTTTCAGAGTCAGACATTATAATGAGGATAAAACAATTAATAGAACCTGCAAAAGTGAAATAGACCCCAATAAGTTTATAGATCATTTTGCACACTATTGTCGCCTGATTTGTAATACTGGTCGCGGAAGGAGCGTCGGATTCGATGCCCATGTTACTTACGACTCAATGTCGACGTACTCGAAGTCGTGGACATCGCCGTTATCTTGGTAGCGAGTCACTGGTAGTAGCGCTAAGGACAAGCTGCCGCGATGACGACAACGTGACAAGTTCTAGTACCTCCACCATGAACAGATCATTACAAACAGGGCTTTCGGTCTCTTTCTTCGCACAGTTTCGGATTCATGCGACAAAAACCTCCAAAAATATAGCAAACATATCAAAAGCAGTAACATTTGGGCCAATCTAATCCTGTAAATTCATTTTACTTATCATGTTACCTGTCTCCAACTCGGAAATTGCAACATGGTTCATAAGCCGAATCATTCAAAGTGAATCAGCATGCTTTAGTTCATTAGCTGAATTCCGCTTAAAATTGCCGGCACCTCATATCCACTGAGGCAAATAAATAATCAATAAATACTATACACACGTAACGATAACTTAAAAAACGGGGTGTATTAGCCAAACACGACCACCTCCTAAAAAGTTATTTCGCGAAAGAGTTCAGACACCAATCCGACACATGCCAGAGCCAAGAAATTTAAAATAAAATGATGGTGGAAGGTACTTTTTAGCTAACACCTAGTAAAAATATAAAATAATGGTGGAAGGTATTTTTTAGCTAACACCTAGTAAAAATATAAAATAATGGTGGAAGGTACTTTTTAGCTAACACCTAGTAAAAATATAAAATAACAATGGAAGGTACTTTTTAGCTAACACCTAGTCAAGATATATTCTTATGTTTCACGAAAGTTCACGTTTTCATATTATTTCAAAGCGTCAATGTGATGCCTTAAAATATCGCCATAATGTAAATTTACTTTTCATTACATTGGGTAGTGAAATATAAATGCAACCCCGAGCTTCAGTACAAAAATAAGTCACAATATATGACCAACGTTCAAGGTAATCTCATGCACAAGGATTGTATAATTGTTGAATAAACAGTAAATATAACAGCGCTTAGCAAGTTAAAGACAACAATAAAACTATTTGCAAAAAAGAGGAAGAATCACTATCAATTTATGACGACTTTCATCGTCGTACGCAAATATTGCTGGTTTTATGTATGATTTGCCTCTTTTACTATACGTGGTATCGCTCTCGCATGAATTCGATGCTTTTGTGCAGTAACGTAATTGCTGGAAAATAAGCGGGTTTCAAACAAATACAGCACGTATACTTTTACGCGGGCGTGCGGATAACCGTTTCATATTTGCAAAAAAAACATATCAATGTTTTCAGGTTACTTAGTTAGCACAGAAATTCCAGTGGTATGCTTCGTAACTCTGTTAACTGACCATGAAATTCGTGCATTCAGAATACCCGGGCATACACGAATGAAGCTGCCAGTTTTAAGTTTGAAAATCTAAAGTCCTAAAATACAAACGTTCCTACGTGGACAGCTTTGCCTTTCGGAAATATAATCGTATATGACGTAATATTTTATTTTACTTATGCATCTCTTCTTAGAAGTTATTCTGCTCTACGTGTGTATACACAAAACGAGATATTGTTCCACAAGATTCAATAGGTCCGACTTTTATTTATACCATCAGTTTAAAAGTAGCTACCCCTTGTACAGTAAGGTATATTTGCGTACTATCCCTAATGACTGAATAAAACAAATAACTGATATAAAATTCACAACTTGACGTAAAACTGCCCTTTGCGCCGAAACAAAAAATAAAAACCTACATAGCTTATAATAGTAGATCAATTCAGCCATCCCTCCGTACCTGCGAGCGAGATCAGGACAGCATTCAAATTAGCATTGCAGCTTGTTTTCTCCGTGCGGCACACAAACCAAGCATCCAGTTACGCTTAGTATTCCCGTGGAAGGACACGTGGACACGCACAAACAGATGCCCCAATAAATATGTAGAAAACCAATAAAAAAAAAGGAGCTCGAGATTGCGTTTATCAGTTCCATGCCCCCCATTCAACAGAGCAGCCGTCCAAAACACCTGTCCAGGTGTACGGCAGACTGGTCGAACGGCAGCGCCCCGGACCGTAAACATAAGACGGGAGAAGAACCCGCCCCATTTCGTGTGTCTCCGATCGACCAAAGTAGAATGCTTCATTTCTCGCTCTTTTTCATCTTCCTTCTTCTTGCTAACCACGGGGATCGCACGTGGAACGGGCAAACGCTCGATCGTTCGCGAAGTTTGGACCATCCTCGGCCTGTGCGGCCTCCCCCGCATCATCGTTCGTTGCATTCGGCGGCATCTCCCGTGTGCCCGGTCCCACTAAGAACAAGCTTTCCTTAACCTTACAAAGAACCGGTGCTTTCGTCTTCGGGAGTTCATCGTTCATCCCGCCGGGGCCGTTCTTTCGAGCGGCCTCGGGGCGGTGCCGCCCGCCACACTCCGTCCGATGTTCCGCGTTCATCAAAGTCTCGGAACACCTTCGCCGTTCTCGTGCAAGTCCGGGTAAATACTAAACTGCTTCCGCCCAGAAAAAAGAGATAGTTCGCCGCAGAACGCGAAAATAATCGTAATTCAAAGAAGAAGAAAATAAAAAAATAAAAAAACACGAAATATGAGTTTTGAGACGAAACGGGAGTCTTTCGTCGAATGACTTCGTCTCGGAGGATCGCACCTGTACAAAGACGGCTGAAATATATACCTGCTGTGGCGGGCTGCCGGCGTTCTGTATGAGGGGAGTTTAATCTCGAGCAGGCCTTCTTTTATTTCAGGCAAACGTCTCGGGCCTCTGAACAAAGAGAGAGAACCCGCCTCTTCATCCGCCGAAGGAAATAGCGCGCGCGCAAAGAGAGAGACAGATTGAAGAAGAGAGCACCTCAGATTCGCGAACAACTCGAGAACGACAAGCGTTGGGACGACACTAAACGAGCAAAACGACACACAAAAACACGAGCGAAATGAAAACGTGGAGGGGAAGCACGTTTTTCTTGTTTTCCTCGTTTATTTTCGCTCCCCGTTGCCATCATTATCGTGCTTGTTTTTTTCGTTGTTGAGTTTCGGAACCGGCGGCCATGCCGAGAAGCACCTTCTCTCCTGCAGGGACGAGTGTGGTGAAGGAGAGCGGGCGTGAGCTTCGGCCGCCGTCCGCGGGAGGGCGCCACAGGCCGCGCCGTGCGCTCTGCTCCGCAGCGGCTCGTCTCAATGGGCTCCGTGGCAGCGCTCGGAGACACAAGGTTCCCCCGTGCCGCAGCCTCCGACGACCGCATTCCCGGGACTCCGTCCACCGCTGCTCGCATCCGACCCCACGTCGCCGCCTCGCTGCTGCTGCTGCTTCGACCTTCGCTCCGCCGCTGGACCGGACTCCCGCGCCGTGTGAACGGACGCTGGCCCGTGTGTGAACCAGCACCTGGTTCGAGCGCATCCTTCCCGACGACTTGGGCGACTCTTGCAGGGTCGGTTCGCCGGCCCTCTTCTTGGGAACCCACGCAGCGCGGATGCCCCGCTCGGAATGAAGCTCGTGGCTTCGAGGTTTACCTGAACTGTGTCTAGGAGCGGAAAACAAAAAGTTTGTATGGTCTTGTGCGCGTGCTAGTTAGTGTTCATTACAATTGTGGTTGTGGTGTCATCGTCGTCGGTGTCGTCATCGTCGTCGTCGTCGTACCGCCGTCCTCGTTCAAAAATAAGGACGCGCGAGGCGGTGCTTTTTCTAACTGGAGCGGACACCGCGTCATGCTGCTGTTGTGTCCGACTGTTGGTTCGTAACCTCGGTTCGGAAGAGATGACCTTTTGCCGACATCGGTTGTCGCCGGTGCAGCTGCTGCGCTTGTAAGAGAAGCAGTGTGGTGCGCGTTCTCTTCTCAGCCGGTCCGCGACTTCGTCTCGGATACTTGAGCCGGCGGGACGCTCTCTCCGAGCAGCCGATCGAGCGATGCACTTACGGAGGCTTCTTCGAGATCGGAGGCTTCTCGCAGTCGACGGGATGCGACGCGTTGCCGTCGCCGCACTCGCCGGATGTCTGCTACTTCTGGATACAGGTGAGTGCCGTCCCGCTGCTCCGGTCGCTCTCCATCGGATCCTCGCGTCAGCCGGGATGCTGGACGCGCACGCCGATGCGATGGGCTTCTCCTCACGGCTGGCTTAGGCTCCGATCCTTCCCGGAAGTGCAGAGACCAAGCTTATTATACGCTATGGTGTTTACATGTCCTCTCTTTACGTTAACTGCGTTCTGTTTCTTCGTATCTGGCTGTTTGTACCACATCGTCCCCACCATACATATTTATAACCGCCTCTTTTGGGAAAACGCTATGAAGTCAAGTCTGAGGTGTGTAGTCGGGCGATCGAAGTGATTAAGTACGATGTCTGCCCTGTGAGTGTTCTTGCCTGCTGTGATCGTCCGTACTCCTTAACATTCGTTCTTCACCTTCTCACCTACAACGTGAATGTCAGGTGTTTTTTTTTTTTTTTTGCAAGGTGGCAGTGGTTCGGGCTCAACGAAATTGGCTGACTTTCCCGTTGGAAAGCGGTGTTCTTGTAACTTCATGATAGGTTTTTGGTACACGATGAATCTTCGTCAAAACTAGAGGGAGAGTCCTGAGTTTCACGTCGAAGGTTACTCCCGGTGCAATTGGGGAACTTCGTCTCCCTCAGTTCCATGAATTCCCGGCCCTTCTTCGCTGAAAGTACAAATAGCCATTGCAGTTCAACGTACTTTTTGTTATACAAACCATTCTCCTGCCAAGAATTCTACCCGAACTCTCGACATTACACGTTCCTTAGGTATTGGGTATCGTATATTTATTTGATTCATTTCATTTAAGACTGCCAGCATCCCCCAACTTTGTTGAGCATCAACACCTCGGCACCTGCACTCAAATGAAAATTTAAACTGAAGAACAACAAACATCGCATTGTTCCGCGGGAATATTTATTATGACACTTGTAACATATCAATAAGCAGTGATTAAACTTTTGCACGCGTATGGTTTTTACTGCATGGCTCTTCAAATTGTTTCGAATTTAATCATATGGGCCACATTCACAAAATTTTCGATTTCTGCTCTTCTTCACAAAATATCGTAATGTTCTTCAGGACTCTACTTGCCCGGGTGACATTGACAGGAAGTCAGTTATAATTTTGATATTTGCTCGAAAACTTTTATTCCACATTATGCCCAGAAGGTTGGCCACGGAGCCGGATTGATGTGCATCCGTACATATAGCACTGACACACACCTAACCCAACTTGATCTGCGGGACTTCGGGACCCTTCGAGCAAGAAAGAAATTAGTTGGCTACTGACGTTACGAGAAAACAGAAAGTATAAAACAGAGAGAGGACGAAACACAGACGAGTACATTCTTTCAACTCTCAACAAAGTTTATTCCATGGGGTGCGAACGTATCTTCCCGTGCGCAGACTTCGGGAAAGGGCAGAGGCAGTGGGGGAAGTAAGTGTAAGGAAGGGCGGGTGGGAGAGGCGGCTGGGTGCGTGGACCCGATGGGTTGGGCCGCTCACCGAGGTCGTCTAATCACCCCGGACAGCTCATGGCTCAGATAATCTATCTCTCTATCAGTGAGGGCTAGCGAGGGGGAAGATACATTGACTCCGGAGTTCTTTATCGCAAAAGATTCGATAGCTTCCCTGCCGAATCTCTGAAGATGGCGCCCGAGCACGCGCGTTTTTTTTGAACCTTGGCTCGCATCCTCCGCATGTGCGGCGATGTGCTGCAATTGGGTGCACCGTTCCCTTGCTGGGATCGGCGACCTCTCGGAAGTGCTCCCCCAGGCGGTCATTTAGGCACCGGCCCGTTTGCCCGATATATGCTCCCCCGCAAAAGAAAACAATGGAATAGATTCCCTCTCTCCGGGCAAGAGATAACCTCTCTCCGGCAAGAGATAACTTTCTGTTATCTAGTACATCTTACCAACACGCTCGTTAGGAATATAATACTGACGTTTATTGTTTTGTTATGAATCCGAGGGACAGCCGAGCCCTCTTCTCCCCCATCCTTTCGACTTCCTTGTTTCATCTCTCGAGGCCTCGCCACCCTGACGCTCGCTAACAGCTCTCACTTTGGCTCGTCGCTTTAATGCGCGAATTACGCTTTAAGCCACGACGCCGCTGGTAGGATTCATTGCCACGACCATGAGACACGCAAGCAAGCGAGGCCCGCCCATTTTAAAATAGAAAAACAAAATCGGAACTCGGGAAACGAATTGCGGTAGTTTCGGACGCCGTACAGAGTTGCTCATCACGCGAAGTTACAGAACTCCGGCGTGAAAAATCTCTCTCACCTTCCTTTCAACCACCCCCCATTTACCAGTCGCCTTCAATTGTCTCACGCGCAAACGTTCCAAGCAAAACACAGACAAAAAAAAAAAAAAAATAAAAAGAACATCGTTTCGACAACCAAGACCTGACGACCGTTCCGCCGACTGTCCCCTCCTCAGTGGGCACTTTTGAGAAATAAACTCGGCGCCCAGCTTTGGGGCACTCCCCTCGGCGACCCCCAGAGTCCTGCTGCTGCAGCGCTGATTAGAGCGTCGCCTGTAGAGGGAGAAGGGAACGCCTGCTGGACGCTGCGACGGCCGTCGTCGAGGTCTCCCTCGCAGCCCGGACGACAGTGTAGCAGCGCAGGGACCGGATTGACCGGGGTCCCTGGCTGCCTTCGTTCCCCCCTAAGGCGGAGGACTTGTCCGCGCCAAGGAAACCGGCGGAGACTTTCGACCGAGCTGGGGATGCGCCCGGAATTCGGCGCCGACAGCGGGGATGCTCTAATTGGCCGATCACGTGATGACGACCGAGAGCCCCGTCGGGGAACCTCGATTAACTAACGACGGGATTTCTCTCTCTCTCTCCTGTTCTTCCCTGTCCCCTCTCTCTCGCCTTCCTTTCGAACTTTAGATCTGCAGGGACAGACTGCCGATGTTGGTTTGGATAGTATAGATATGTAGGCGCTTTTCTGCGCACTATGCTCGTCGTTTTAAAGTACAACCTCGCCCAAGTGACTGGTTTCTGTGTGAAAATATTAAGACGTTTTTCTATGAATTGCTCGCCTTGCTTTTATTCGTAATTTTGCTTTTGCGCCCATGTGGTATCTTCTGTTTTAGTGATTTATTATATTGTGCGTCACAAATATTACCCAGAGTCTCGTTCGATGAATTGACGTTCCGGAAAACACGCACACTCCACATCCTAAAGCCGTCAAACGCTTTCTACACTGACAAAACGAGGTTTCTTTAAGTCCATAGGACATCTGAATGGCGTTTTATGGTCCGGCCTGCTTATAATTATTGAACAGCGCATAGGTCACAGAATAATTCAATAGGATGAATCGTTCTTGTGATCTCGATGTCATAAATATCGCCACGATTGGTCACTTACTTCCGGTTGTCCGTGTATTTAGGACTTGTATTGAAACCATTTCCGAGCGAACCTAGCTCGCCCACAGTATTGACAACACGCGCGCACGCCCACTTTAATTGGGTCATTATGCGGGAAACTGACGTGAGATGATGGCGATAAGTTATGGTATTCCTCTTTTGCTAGAGTTTGCGATTTTCTAAATCACGACCGAGTGACGAGACATGAGTGAAGTAGGCAGCTCCCATATTCAGGATCGATATGTTTCTCTTACTTCCAGAAAAAAAAAAAAAAAAGAAACAGGGCCTTCGTTATATTGTTTGTTTCTGGCTCTCGGAACCCCTTCCTGGAGGCTTCTTCGTCAGTTTTCTCGTCTTGACCGCCTGGGCGGGTCACCGTGCAGCGTGACTTCACTAACCTCGCAGGCAGCATATATCCCGATGGTGTTCCGCAGCTTACCGTCAAATATCGATAAAATTAGCGTTCAGATCGCACGAAATCCTAACACTAGAGATATAAAGAATATAAAAATATACATCACTTCAGGTTTTCCGTAGTAGCGGCCATTTCATTGGCTGCTTTCTTTCCAAGTTAATTCTTGGAGCATATGACGGTGATGTTGCCCTCAAATGAGGACTATTTTCCAAATGACGTATGGCACTATTTTTTTAGTTATCTGGTTACATTTGTGCGTCATTCATCGAACTCCCAATAGATTCGATATAATTCCTTAAACACCCATTGCGGGTGAGTACTAGGTGACGGTCAACATATTGACCACCCGTTGTTTGTGTCAATTATAATTTGAAGCCCAGTTTTAGCTTCGTTTCAGTTCCTTAGTCTTTTTTGTTCTGATATGTATATTTTACTGGCAACGTCTTAGATAAGAAACTATCGATATTAAAGTCTCAGAAACAAATAGACAAAAGTAGGGCCCCTAAGCGGAGACATGGCGCTTTAGAAATAAAGCGTGCGAATGTGCCCAGAAAACAACAAGTTCAGTCGGAAGAAGAGAAAATAAAGCCCCGCGTTTGGCGCTCCTCCAGCTTTCAAGCGCGTTCCGCTTGTCCCCCCGAGGACTGTAGAAGCCTTCTCCTCCCCCGGACCCCGTGCTTCAAAAACCGAGAGAATTCTTTTTTTTTTTTTTTTTAAAGACAGGAACCAGCGTCGTAGCAAGGCTTATTTCTTGTGTTTTTCCTCATCGCCCTGTTGTTGTATGGCGGCGTTATAATTTTTAAACGTGGCGGCGTGTGCTGGTTATTGTCCCAGAGAAGGAACAGCCTGGATCGTTTATAAAAGACCTCGAGCTGCAAGGCGGCACTGCTGATGCGTCATCCGCTCACTGTCACTTCTTTTTTTTTTTTTTAAGCGGGCTTAATGGGCCTTAAAGAAGATTTCACAATGAACAATGAGCAAGAAAAGATAAGCGCGATTTTATTCGGCAGACTTCTCTTCCAAAGTAATTTGTTCGCCAACGCGAAACAATGACTCCAAGTGGCACTGAAGACTTTTTTAGGCCTAACTGACAAGCTAACAAAGTTCAGCAATATACGGAATATACGGAATCTAAGAAACTCCTACGGAATTAGAGGCTGTGCAAGGCGTCCAAAATGAAACAAAAACAAAGTCTTGTATGATATTTCAGCATCGGATTGCTCGAAAAACGTCTCTG